TATTAGTCGTGTTTTAATTTTTTTCTTACAATTAGTTGTTTTTTTATGCTCCAGAACGATGCTTGCTTCTTGGGCCAGATGATCACCCAAATGCCAGTTTAATGTTCTTTCCATTGCGACTATTGCGAACCTGTTTATGAAGATGTTATCTACACATCTGCTTCCGTTTACCCTTGATGGTTGATTAAAAATAGGTTTAAGTCCATATTCTAACATAATGGCTAACAACTCCTCATTAATTATTGATTTTTCATTGATACATATATTGTAATCCCCCATTATAAATATATTTTTTAAATTTAGTTTTCCTATTACGAAATGTAAAATTTCTTCCATTTTTCCCAAAAATTCTCTATAATCTCCATCTGGTGAGTGATACACGACTAAAAAAATGGAATTCAGTACTGGGATTTTAACTGCGCAAAGTTCAATGGTTTTTTCTTTAATGTATTGGTCTAAATCAATTGACTCAGAAGAGTATTCTTCATCTATCAATAGTAAAACTCCTCCTCTTGAAAAAACTTTCCTACAGTTGCAAGATCCAACATAATAACCTGGAAAACTTAAAATTTTTATCTCTTCTTTCGTCATCCAGTGCTCAGTGATCGCTATTATATTTATTCCTGTTTCTGTGGTAAGTATGTATTGTAGTTGGTTTATTTTATTTTTTAAGCCCTGCATATTAATGTTTACTATCTCTATTTGTTTTTTGATTTTATTTTTGTTTATGTTTAAGTTTGTATAATAATCACTTGATTGATTTAGTTTGTGTTCTATTTCACAGGTTTTCTGTTGTAAATCTTTTCTAAAAAACGATTCACTCTGACACCTGATGGCCATAAATCTGGTTGTTTAGTGGTTTCCAAGTACTGATTTGGTAGTGAGATTTTATATGAAGCATATTCATCTGGTCTTTTTGCTGTAATTCGTTCGCATCTTACATTGCTAATACTTTTACTTTGCAGGTAATTTTTTACTTCTTCTTCGGTTGTGTTGGGTTGTAAACCGCAAACATGTAAGTACACATATTGCTCTACACCCTTTAGTGAAGTATTTGTTGCAGTTCCTCTTATTGTATGTAACGACGACTTACGTTTTTTATATGACACAAACGTAAAGTCGGTTTCTATTCCTGACTTAATTTGTTTTTCTTCTCCATCATTTTTTTAAATTTCAGCAGCTTGGGAATTACGAGATGCTATATCAGAGTATTTGGGTTTAATTATTTTATACTCCGGTCTTTGAACTTTCTCATTTTTTTCATTTTTTGTTTGGTCAGTATTTTGGTTTGTAACACGTTGTTCTTTCGAGAGCTGATTTTTTTGCTTCGTACCAGGTGGTGGACTTTTTAAATTGGTGTTTATCAGCCGTATATCTCCATCTTTTGGATTCATTTCTGAACTTGATACAGTTTTCTGCCTTTCTATTTGTTCCTTTAATAATTTTATCTCATTTGTTAAGATTTCGTTTTCAATTTGCATCTTTTTCATTTCGTCTTTAAATGACGTAATTATTTTTTCCGTCATACGATTTATTTCTTTATTTATTTTATCAAGAATGTAATCTTCCAATTTTAACTCACTTCCATTTCCCTTTGAGGTTAGTTCTTCTTCACAAACATTGCAGATCCAGGATTTGATTGATCCGTCNTAGCCTAAGAAATAAGGTTTTCATCCGTAAATATGTTGTAATCTCAATAAGTTTAGTGAAAATAACTTTTTATTTTGTGCGTGGGTATAAATTAAACAGTTTCAGGTTAGGATTTAATACGAAAATGCAATTTTAACATTGCTTTGAACTTCCAAAAAGAAACGTCAAATCGTAACTTTAAAGTGATTTTTCGGTAAGTACTACACTTTTCCGCACTTTTTTTTATCATTAACACAGCTTTTGAGTCATTTCCTACCGATTAAAAAAAAATCATCGATTTTTAAGAGGGACAGGTATTCTTTAATTATTCCCTTTAATAATGTCCACCTGTTATATTCTCTTAATAAATTCAAAATAAGTTAATAATATCCACCTGTTATATTCTCTTAATAAATTCAAAATAAGTAAAATTTCCATAATAATTTATTCATAAAACAATTTACCGTTATAAAATTGCCTATAATAACACACGTTTTAAATTTAATAATACCAAAACTTTGTCCTAACAAAGTTTTATTAAAAAACACCTGAAAATTATCCTTTCTATTACTCTATAAATGTATCTACCCGCGTCGAAAATGACATTTTTCTTAAAGAATATCTAAAAATGTCCGAGAAAGGTTATCATAAAGATTTTTTTTCTGCAAACATAGTTTTGATGAAAATATCAGGAATTTGGTCTTTTTTCAATCGAGATAAAACCACACGACGTCTACATGTAACAATCACGCTGATTTTTATATTTTTCTTACAAATTATAACCAGTTGCGATGAAACTTATCTTCTCAAATACGTTTACCACCGTTTAGATTTACTTATTCCACATATCGGAATTATGCTAACTCATTTCTTGGGTAATATAAAGATTTTTATTTTTTTCATGAATCGGGAAAAAATAGTTAAACTGATGGATGAAGTCGAAGATAGTCGTTTCAATTACAATTTTCCACCTGAAATTGATGGTTATAAAATTGCTCAAGGTAATAAAATGGTAGCGAGAGGCGCAATTTTATTTTTTTTGGGAATTTCAACCGGTGTTGCTCTATCAAGGGTGATCCCCATCTTAACATACACCGTTTGGAAACTTGACACTTATAATATAACTTGCGAAGAAATTTTTCCGTTCTTATTAAGAACGCCGTTTCCTACAACATCAACACTGGGCTGTGTGGGAGCGATTAATTATATTAACGTTATTATTATCGCTTATGCGTATCAAATGATATGTAAGGTTATTTCTCGTTTTAAATAATGACTTTTGACAAATCAGAACAACCAACTAATAAAGGTAACTAAAAGTGTACTATATTCAAAAATTTATCTTATTTCATTATAATTTTAACGTTTTTAACTATTTTTAGGTTATAAAATAATTGTTAATAGAATATTAATAATAATAATTTAAAAAATTATTTTAACATAAAAAGTATTCTATGTTATAACGTTGGTCATTCTGAATTGTGTGTTATAAAACGTCAAGATGACAATCCCAAATTTTATTTATTGAATTAAAATCAATTTCTTTTCTTTTAGGTTGTGATGTTATGTACGTTACCTGCTTAATTTGCTTAAAATCGCATATGAGCATATTGAAGAAAGGCTTCGAAACCATCCGTATAAGATGTCTAAGAGAATTGAACTTAAAATTGGATTCCAGGGAACATTTAAATGATTCCGACATCAAGGAACTTGTTGATATGATGAATTTCGAAATGAAAAAGTTCACGTTACATTTACAATCGATAATTAAGTGTGAACCTTTCGATAAATAAATTAAAATGTTAATAAACTCAGTTTTGCAGAAACATTCAAATAATAGAAGAAATCTACAACAAAATAATACTTTTGCAAGTTTTAACAGTCGGTTTTATGATGGTTTGTTGTCTTTATATGATGTCAACGGTTGGCATGTTTTCAACAACTTTTGTAGCTCAATTTATTTATTTATTTGCTTTAACAACTCAAGTTACCTTATATTGTTGGTTCGGTAATGAAATTACTGTTGCTGTATGTTATAAAAATTACACATTTAAGTTATTTTAAACGTTTTCATTTAACTTTAGGGTTCAGAAATACCAACGAGTATTTATCAAGGTGACTGGTTATCCACAACAACTGGTTTTAAAAGAAGTATGATGATTAATATGTTACGTTTAAATAGAGATATTCATCTTACAGTTGGTAAATTTTCTCCTCTAACAATTGCAACATTAGTTAGTGTAAGTTAATACAAAGTTATAATGATAATGTTATTTGTAATGATTTTATTTTGTAGATTTTTAGAGGATCTTATTCCTATTTTGCTGTCTTGAGGAATGTGGAGAATTAAAAATTAAATAAAGGCAGCTTAAAGAATTTATTTCGGTGAAATTAATTTTTAGTGAATACAATAAATAGATACATACACTTTTTTAGTTGATTTCTTAATTATTCCCTCATTTTTTGGCTCTGTAACAGTGCGAAATAAGAGTATGAACCTCTAAATATCTAAAAATACGCAAAAAGTAAATTAAAACGTAGATATTTAGATTTATTTACAGCAACTAAGGTAGCAAGAGTTAAAGGTGAAAATTTTCCGATTGTTATGCATAAATTTCTTTGCATACGGGTCATATTTATTAACATTCCTTTACGAAAACTTGAAGTAGCAGTGATCCAATCTGATTTATAAATTGCCAAAGGGACAGTTGCTCCCTACAAATTCATTTACGATTTAATGTTTAACCATGAAAATATGTTCTTACCGTCAATGTTATTTCATTTCCGATCCAACAATAAAGTGTTACTTGTATAGAAACAGCCATGAAATACAATAATTGGTGAAGAAAAGCTCCCGAAATGATANAAAAATTGTCACATTGACAACTAGAAAAATTAATGACCCAATGTCACCAACTTGAACTGGTTCCATAAAATGTTACTAAAATCTCATTACAGCATCGGATGCTGTAAGGAGTCTCATTACAGCCCCTGTTTGAGTACTGTTATAGCTTCCATTACCGTAGCGAATTACAAAAAGTCTATTAACACACATTTGGTAGAAACAATTCTATCTAACGACAGGTAATTATTGTCGTTATGCATTGATAGCCTAAGAAATAAGGTTTTCATGCGTAAATATGTTGTAATCTCAACAAGTTTAGTGAAAATAACTTTTTATTTTGTGCGTGGGTATAAATTAAACAATTTCAGGTTAGGATTTAATACGAAAATGCATATTTAACATTGCTTTGAAGTTCCAAAAAGAAACGTCAAATCGTAACTTTAAAGTGATTTTTCGGTAAGTACTACACTTTTCCGCACTTTTTTTTATCATTAACACAGCTTTTGAGTCATTTCCTACCGATTAAAAAAAAATCATCGATTTTTAAGAGGGACAGGTATTCTTTAATTATTCCCTTTAATAATGTCCACCTGTTATATTCTCTTAATAAATTCAAAATAAGTTAATAATATTCACCTGTTATATTCTCTTAATAAATTCAAAATAAGTAAAATTTCCATAATAATTTATTCATAAAACAATTTACCGTAATAAAATTGCCTATAATAACACACGTTTTAAATTTAATACTACCAAAACTTTGTCCTAACAAAGTTTTATTAAAAAACACCTGAAAATTATCCTTTCTATTACTCTATAAATGTATCTACCCGCGTCGAAAATGACATTTTTCAAACATTTTTCTTAAAGAATATCTAAAAATGTCCGAGAAAGGTTATCATAAAGATTTTTTTTCTGCAAACATAGTTTTGATGAAAATATCAGGAATTTGGTCTTTTTTGAATCGAGATAAAACCACACGACATCTACATGTAACAATCACGCTGATTTTTATATTTTTCTTACAAATTATAACCAGTTGCGATGAAACTTATCTTCTCAAATACGTTTACCATCGTTTAGATTTACTTATTGCACATATCGGAGTTATACTCACTCATTTGTTGGGTAATATAAAGATTTTTATTTTTTTCATGAATCGGGAAAAAATCGTTAAACTGATGGATGAAGTCGAAGATAGTCGTTTCAATTACAATTTTCCACCTGAAATTGATGGTTATAAAATTGCTCAAGGTAATAAAATGGTAGCGAGAGGCGCAATTTTATTTTTTTTGGGAATTTCAACCGGTGTTGCTCTATCAAGGGTGATCCCCATCTTAACATACACCGTTTGGAAACTTGACACTTATAATATAACTTGCGAAGAAATTTTTCCGTTCTTATTAAGAACGCCGTTTCCTACAACATCAACACTGGGCTGTGTGGGAGCGATTAATTATATTAACGTTATTATTATCGCTTATGCGTATCAAATGATATGTAAGGTTATTTCTCGTTTTAAATAATGACTTTTGACAAATCAGAACAACCAACTAATAAAGGTAACTAAAAGTGTACTATATTCAAAAATTTATCTTATTTCATTATAATTTTAACGTTTTTAACTATTTTTAGGTTATAAAATAATTGTTAATAGAATATTAATAATAATAATTTAAAAAATTATTTTAACATAAAAAGCATTCTATGTTATAACGTTGGTCATTCTGAATTGTGTGTTATAAAACGTCAAGATGACAATCCCAAATTTTATTTATTGAATTAAAATCAATTTCTTTTCTTTTAGGTTGTGATGTTATGTACGTTGCCTGCTTAATTTGCTTAAAATCGCATATGAGCATATTAAAGAAAGGCTTTGAAACGATCCGTATAAGATGTCTAAGAGAATTGAACTTAAAATTGGATTCCAGGGAACATTTAAATGATTCCGACATCAAGGAACTTGTTGATATGATGAATTTCGAAATGAAAAAGTGCACGTTACATTTACAATCGATAATCAAGTGTGAACCTTTCGATAAATAAATTAAAATGTTAATAAATT